TTCCTCCTTTTTGGAGAATATTCTACCGCAACCTTTTTGGTCCCACGGACTGGCAAATTTCCATAATTTTTTTTCGCAGACTGGCAAATTTCCAAACATTTTTCTACAGACCAGCAAAGGTTCATGAAGTTTTCATACAATTTTTGCGTGCTAAAAAAATTTTTGCTTGAAGAACAGCTGTAATGGCAGGTACATTATATGAAAAGCTTCTGCTATTTTTTGTGCAAAAATTAAGTCAAGAACCCTTGAAGCGGCTATAGTGGAATATCTTCAAAAAATGGAAAGGTGGGCTTGGAGAAAGATTTTTCAGACTAAAAAAATTAAAATAATTTCTTAAATCAGGTAAAAATTTCTCTGAATTATTATAGGAGAAAAGCCGAGATATATTTTTCCTGAGATATTTTTAACTACCATTGTATTGCCAAAATTTGAGATAAAGATACTATAGCTGTAGCATTCTTCATTGTTACTTTTGAAACATTCATTAGCCTGGAGAAATTTCTCGCGGACCGGCAAAAAGCGCCGGTCCGCGGACCACGGGTTGGGGATCACTGTTCTACAGCATAAGTCAAGTAGACCCGTCTTCCCTTTCTTCCTTGCAAAGCAAGGTTGTGGATTTGGGTTGGATGGGAAGGGAGGTTTGGTTGTGGAAATCTTGAGTGGACCTTGTGAACGCTGAAAAGCGGCAAATAAAGCGTTCTGTTCCGTTCTGTTCTGTTGCAAAGCAAATGCTGAGAACCGATGAGGCGTCATGTTTGTTCTCCGTTTCCTCTCATCACTCCAGCAGGATAATGACGAACGACACCGGGAGGATGAGCAAGTTTCGGCACGCGTGCCTCCACGCGATGATGGCGATACTGGTGCTGGCGCAGCTGGCGCCGAACGCGGGCGCCAGTCCCAGCATGTACGGCGTCGTGCGCGACGGCGGCATGCGCGGCGGCTGGAGCCGCTACTACGACAGTCTCGACCGCCTGGGCTACCAAACCCCCAACGCCCGTCGCACGTCGCCCGCCATGTGCGAGAAGGACCTGCAGTGGAAGCGGCTCTGCGTGCAATGCGCCAAGATCACCAAGTCCCCCTGGGCCTTTCCGCTGTGCTGCAACAAGGACCTGTCGGCGCCGCAGTTCTGCGAGAACCTGGTCCAGTTCGGCAAACCCTGAGCAAACGAGCCACTGCTGCTGGTCATCGCACCCCGTAACACGCTTCCGGCTTTCGTTTTGTTCCCTTTGTCGGGTTTTTGTTTTCCATGATGACGATCGCTCGTTGTTGCAAGAACGCGTTCGCCGTTGTTGAGTTTTCCCCTGCGCGCGTTGATCGTCGCTGGATATATTACGCTGAAAGTTCACGCTTCGTCACTGTGTTCTCGCGATTCCGATCTCGGTTGCAGGAATCCATTTTTGTTCGTGTTTTCTGTCGAATGTTGTTCGTCGAGGTATGCTGAGTAATGAAATTACCCGGAGCATTTGACGGTATTAATATCCCAAGTCACCAAAACTAGAGGAGGAAGAAAATAAAAAGACAAACTTGAGGTGCTGGAGAGAAACGTCACAAATCTTTCACCTCTCACACGCATTAATGTTGGTTTTACCCCATACATCGCCACCAAATCCGAATACATGTCTCCAACCACTCGATGACACCAGATGAAATCAAGTAGTGTATTGTATCACTTTCTTGGAAAACTTTCTAGCTCGAGGAACGACTTTGCCACTCATATAATTTTTCCTCCACGTGAAGACGTGATGTTTCATGGAGGAAAATATTGCATATTTTGTTGATGAATGGCCTCGTATTTAGGGGCTTCGGATGCTCGGTTAAAAACGTACATACAAGTACTGTACATCATCAAAAGAGCCATTGGGAACATGAAAGAAGGCTAATTGTAAAGATTCAAATATTACTTGTGACTATATTAGGAGTATTGAGCAGGGATCTATAAAAATGTTGTTGTGAATAACAATTTTTGCATCAAGAAGATTCATTGTCACAAGATTTTACTGAATTTCCAATTCAATTATGCGTGGTAAACCGCTTGAAAGCATTAAAGCGCTTTTCAAATGGCTGAAGAATCCAGCAGAAAAATGCACAAATTGTTTTTCGACAAGTAGCCATATTGACTGGAGATGATGAAACATTTAAGAACAGTTTTTGACGTATTGTACTGTACTGTACATAGTTGGTGGCCAAGTACATTGTTGTTGGCTATGATGCATATTTGGCCTGTTGATTGATGAAGTTGTTAAGTTAAAATCGTATAGCATATAAACCCAGGACCGGGGGAAAAAATTGGTCGTAAAAAATACCATGAAAATTTAAATAACAATGCGGTAATTGGGAAGGTACCTGAAAAACGTTTTGTAGTAAGTAAAAATTTGTTATAAGATACCTTGTATCGAGATTCTATTGTATTGTGTATATGCATGCAGCAGGCAAGATCGAATATTCAGGCAGACCACCGGAAAATGTCCATGACTCAATGAACTGCAGTATCTTGTATACAGCCAAGTATGCGGCTCACATCCCATGCTGAAGCAATCCACATCATGTGTCAACAAGTCCCTTTCCTGTTCTTTTTTTCTGTTTTCTTCTCCTACGCCAGATGTCCAGTATACTGTATATACTGCATACAGAATATGTGCTTCTGCTTGATGATGATTGCTGCGTGAGAAGATGAATGTTTTATGCAGAATTTACATGAGACGTCGAACTCGGATGCAGTAATTCAATTCCTTGAAGAAGAAAAACAGCTATATTGCGGTAATCTCGTTGTCGGCGAAAAAACTTTTATCCAATCAAAAACCATTCATCAGATGCAGGGACGCTTGATCAACCCAGTCTTCAGTATATAGACATTATTCAGCTCTCTAGTTAAATTTATCTTGGCGGGAATTTTTCATTTAAAAATACAGAAAATTGGAAGTTTATACAGTATATATTGAACTAATCATGTCTTTCAATCCTTTTTAGGGAGCTTAAGAAGATGCTGCATTTGCCACAGTCCCAGTATTGCATTTTCGTGAGACTTGCCTTCTGGCAACTTGGAGTTATTTTGTACGTATACAGAAAGAAGCAGTTATTCCGTTATAATCCGTCGAATAAAGCAGCACAGTTACATATTTCATATACATGGGCCAATATACATATGCATATACCCGCCGCTCGCGGATGAGCAGCAGTCGCAGTGTTGAAAATAATTGACGATTCAGGAAGTGGAAAAAGAATGGATTAGCCATGCAATTACAGCTGAACAAAAAAATTATAAGTGAGGCCATTATAAGATTATAAGTCGCCAAGGATGTGACTTAATTAATTGTCAGACTGTGTCCAGCATATGACGATGTCCGCAGCATGTCAGATCATACTTTCTATCCTTTGGTTGAAAAAACAAATGTTAGCCTACAGAATCAGCAATTACTGTCTTTCAACAAAATTAACACACAGTTTGTATAAATTTCTGCATAACCAAGTTTTTTTTTTGCTTGATTCAAATGATTTCGCGTCCTCAAGCATGAGTGCATGACTGTTGTGACTCGTTCACATAAAATTCGAAAGCAATGCGGGGAAATAATTCGTAGTTATGTATAGCAATAATTCTGAAATCTGAATGAATATTCTGTAGAACATTAAATCATAAAAGTTGAAAATTGAGCATGCTGTGAAAGATAAAATTCACGAGAACAAATCTTGAAGAAAAATTTATAATCGTCAACCGTATCGATAAAAAGTATGCATAAAAATTTTAAAATCACAAGAAAATAATTTTCAACTGAAGTATCTCAAGTCTTGCAAATCCTCCGCAACACGTCGCACTTGCAGTTATATTCAGGAAGCCTAGCAATAATATTTTTTCTCAGTACAGTATACACAGCTGCACTGATTTTTCTCTCTTTTATAGTATCAACCCATGTGATAGAAGAAACCACAAATGCTTGGTCGGTTTTGAAGTCTGGAAGGATTTCCCGCACGGAAAAGATTAAACGCTCATTTCTAAATTGTGGGATGGCTGTATCCCGATTAAGAATCATCGTTCGTATACTGTACCACCGTACCGCATTCCGCACTATTGGTCCAAGCAGTACACGTCAGGAGTGTCAAGGAAAACGAGTTCAAATTCAAGCCCGAAGTGTTCTCAAACGCTGTATTTCACGCTCCATTCAATGATTTCACAAACATGAATGCATGAGCCGATGTTCTTTGCGGGCGCCGTAAAGCCCAGATGCCTCCCCTCCTTCATTATCCCTGCTTATCGCTTGCATCATGATTCATATCTTCGCTTTAAAAACACAGTAAAACAGGCAATCCCAACTGAGGATATTGGCGAGGAAGCTTAGCAGAAGAGCAACAATTCAAACAAAATAAAGTGACTGGAAACAAAAGCAACAAGGGTTGTTGACTTTTAGTACGGTCTAACACTCAATTCAGTATCAAGTACTAACCGAAAAAAAACAATGCCGCTGAATTCAAAACACACAAATAAAAAGAAAAGAAAAACAGAACAGAACAGTGCATTGCGCTAATCCCAAGTGTTCTACCTATGACTTATTCCACCGTCGAAAAGCCCTGCAATCGAAGTCAAGGATTCATAATTGAAATTTCGGGCTTGTCACAAGCTAAAGGCGACAACACCAAGAATAGGTTCTTAACCACAGCACAACACCCTCCAGCTGCTAAAACCTCGCAGTGGTTAATAGGAAAAAAAATTGTTCTCACTGCATCATGCGCGTGAGGGCCTACACGAGGGGCAGAGAATTCCGGATGTGGGCGATACTGGAAGAACTGCAGGACAGAAACGCACAATTCACGTGCTCAAGAATTGCAAACATCATGATTATTCAACGTCGGAGAAAATGAAAAGGGACAACCTAATACGGGAATGTGAGAACTCAGCATCATTTCCTTGGGGTCCCAGAATCAAGGGGGCTTTCGGGACTTCTTTCTCTCCCTTTTCGCTCTGCCGACTAGATCAAACAGGGTAATGTTCCAACAAAAAATATAGCATGAACCAAAAAAAAAAAAAAAAAAAAAATCCGCCGCGTAAGACCTTAAATATGTACATCGGATGATCAATGCTCTTAATATAACACAGACGAACACGGCTTATAGACAGTAAAACGGGAAGACCAGCTAGGGACAACGGGAAGACGCTCGACGAAGGAAATCACCAGATCAATAGACAAAGCTCGGTTCGACATCGAATTCCCTAAAATCGCCGGCAGCGCACACGCTCCTCTAGGCAAAAATAGAGCAGTTCAAACCCACACAGGGAGAAAAATAGCAAGAGGATGACACGCGTTCATAGAATCGCGAGAAGGCACTCCAGTTTTGCGATGTGTATGCGACAAGGGGTTTCCCGCAAGAAAAAGGCGACCGGCTTAGGCTAACTCATGCACACACCAAATAAATTACCATAAATTACGATTAGCACTGACGCCGGGTTCGCCTACTGTTTGCCTCAACAGGGATTCACGTAATGCCCAAATCTCGTTTGTGATTCCGTGGCTTTTGGGACGATGGAATCGGCTGTTTCTAAATGACGAAGCCCAAGATTCACAATGACCCACCCAAGCATTCGAGACCCATCCACGGCAGTCCATCGTTTACATCGGAATCAACAACCCCAGATGCCGGGTAGGAATTAGGCAAGCGAAGCCAGAGACATAGTAACAGGTCGACTATCCTCGATCGCCAACAAAAATAAAGCACGACCAACATCTTGCCGTGACCAGGCAGCTGCGCGACTTTGAAGAAGCTACCAAACCCACGGCGTAACCTAAGCTGCAATTCAAATTAATCATTTACGGGCACCATGGGATCTCGTGCAGATAAAAACTTCTTGTTCGGTGAGTTTAGGAAAACTTGCGAGGACAGTCTCGTCAGGGTGGAAGACCAGTTCAGAATATTCTCTCACAGGTCCGATGAGCCGTAGAGAGCTGTTGAGAAGGACATGTAGTCCAGATGTCCTGGCACGGGTACTCCACCAGGACCTTGATAGGCAGGCATGCGCTGGATACAGTACTCAGCTTGGTCAGGCGGCAACTCACGGCGGAGCTCTTCGGCCGTAATGAATGGCTAGGGAAAGATACATTTTCGTGAGAATGCTGCATAGCATGCGACGATGCCGGAATAGTAAGGCGCCTGTCATCCACAAATTTAAGGAACACAGCAAAATTAGGCACAAAATAGCGCCAGAAAAAAACTGCATAAATCGTTGACGGTTGAGACGAACTGATATCTTTTCTTTCGTTATTTTTGGTATTTTCAGTCAACAAGAAACCTTGGGGAAAAAAGGTTCCCTGGAACTGTTTCGCACAGGCACTGTTTCGGACTTTTTTTTTTATTCGAACGCGCAGTTTCAGAGGGCACTAAATTGTCCGGTCACAACTTTTCCCACCTCGGTTTTGAAAATGAATAAATCTCACGAGCATCATAGAAGCAATTGAACTGCACAAATATCAGTTGCTCAGTTAGGATGGCTAGAAACGCACGTAGAATGGATGAGAACAAATTGTATTAACCTTGTCTCCAGCCAAAATGCGGAAGGAGTCAATCACTTGTTCCGCCGTGTCAGTGTCCGTAGACGCTTGGGTCATGTAGTCCAGGAAGGCATCAAATGGCACAAAACCAGTATTATTTGGATCCACAGCATCCATGATACGCTTAAATTCCCCTTGGTCATTCTGTGAAAATCGAGGCAACGATTAAAAGCATTGAACTTCATTTCGATTTAAAAGAATTATTTTAGATTATTTTTCAGACCTGGCTAGGGCAGCCGAGGGCCACAAGGCACGATTTCAGCTCTTCGGGGGTGAGACGACCAATCCTGTTTCTGTCAAAGTGGTTGAAGCTGGCACGGAATTCGTTGAGTTGCTCCTGAGTAATCCCTTTAGAATCTCGCGTCAGGATCTGGTTCTCAACTTCGTTCACGTTACGATTGATCGACGTCACCAGTTGCTCCCAACCGACACGCAGAGTATCCATCGTGTACTGAGTGTATCTTTGAAGAAATACAGGCCATCAAAATAAAACCCGCCCGAAGAATGGGGACGAGCATATATTATCATTTTAGGCCCTTTTTTATTTTTAGAAGAGTCTGGAAAATGACTGTACTTCATTGCAAACCACTTCGTCAAATTTCGAAATTTACAGTGAAAACAAACTCGCGACAGAAAAATTCAGAGGACTCAATTTATCAAGAGAATCTAAAATTTCGAAAAAGTATCTTACACAGTGCAAAAAATACTGCTGCACTGTGAAAGTTGTTATAACGAGACTCTCCTACGTACCAGGATACGTTTCAGATCATGCAACAAAACGGGACACATACCTGTTCTCGAAAATCATTCCTTCCTGAACCACCTGGTGAATACGCTCAAGCTCTTCAAATTGAGGTTTGTAGCCAACCACTGTATGATCCATGTCTTTCAACCGCTGCAGTTGATCTTCCAGTGCGCCCTGGGGACGTAATTGCTGCAATTTTTCATCATACGTTGATTTGTCAACGGTACTCACCTGCATGCCCATGCCGATCGATGTGACCACATCCAGCTGTTTCTCGATCCATGGACCAATCTGGTTAGCTTTCTCGGCAAACTGACGCCGAAGACTCTCGTTGTCTGAAGAAATACACGTGAAACATACGTCCGAAAAAAATACATGACAGATATCAAAACTCACTCTGCTGCTTTTGCAACTCGGCTTGAAGCGTTTGGTCCCGCTGCGGAACAAGGTTCTTGACATCCTGCCACTTCCTCGCGAGCTCCTGAAATTAGTTCACGAGTTGCAACGGCTGGAGTTGCTGAGCCTCAATGATGTTATTTACGTACATTGGCACATAGACTGGTGTAGGGGTTCTCCAAACCACCTGGCACGCGGTGCGTTTCGGCAAGCTGACGAACTTGCTCAACAAAACCAATAATAGCACCGAATTCCTTGTCAGCCTCTCCCAGAGTAGCCTTAAACTGCCCATGTGCACTGATCATTCCTTGGATCTCTTGAATATTATGCACGAACAGCATGTCTACCAAGTCCTCACGAGCGCCATCGAGCCAGTTGTTGAAAGGCTTTCAGTCAAAAACAGTACGTGAAAGTAAGAATCAGCTCGTCGCCATCGCTGAACCAAGGACTTACTGCCGCACGCTTGGCGAATTCTAAATGAAGATGATCGATCTTTTCCAGCAATTTTTCGGTTTCATCCAAGGCATCACGTCTCTGGTGCGTGAGCGTGCCAAGTCGGTCCCACTGGTCGCAAATGCGCTTGCAGCGCGCATTTATTGTGGCAACATCGTGGTACTCCAAAGAGCTAATTCCACGCGCAGCGAAGAATGATTAAGCAGATGAATAAATTGAAATTGTTAGAATGAAACTCAAACACTGAACGTACTTCAATTCTTGAGCGATTTCAGCGATCTGCTCCACGCGATCCTGGTGAGCTGCAAGGTCCGATTCAAAAGCCTCATGCTTCTTCTTCAAAGCTTTGATATCGTTGAGTTTGCATTGACGATAATCCTGTTTTCCGAGACTCTCTTCTTTACCCTTCGTCCAGTCCTCGTGAATGTCACTCTTGTGTTTAAACTTCTGCACAAGATGATCCAGCCTCTCCAATCTAAATTAAAACGCACAACGCAAATGGAATCTTGCAGCGAATCTTCCCGTTTTTTCTCGAAAATCCAATAATCCACAGCGATTTTCATCGACTCCAGATTGGGAACATTAATCTTCTCTACAAAACGGGCAACAAATAAAAAAGTGGAATAGAGAGATACCTTATCATTTCATTCAGGAGCCAATCCTCAAATCCTTTCTCTGCATCTTCAAGACTTTTCCACGCCTTGGAGATGTCGGACACCAACTTGCCCTCTGTCGGCATGTAGGCGGGTCTGCCAGACAACCTGAGCTTCGTCTGCAGCGTATTGAAATTGGTCTCCAATTTGGCCTTCTGCTCCACACGCGGCGGTTTGTGGCGGCGACGGTAGCTGCGATATTCTTCCAACTTCTTCCGAACTGTAGCCAACGAGTTGTCAATCTGTCTCGACTCAAGCCATGGCAGTGTGCGACGAATCCAGTCTAGCAACTATCCAGAAATCTCATCAGTCATAATCTCTTTCGGAGAAGGACAGCAGCATCTTCAAAGGCTTACATCACTGGCTAATCGCTCGTACTCTTCCATGAGTCGTTCATTCTCTTGGTTCACGCGAAGAACCTTGCAAATTCTGTTGGCAGCTGTTTCCGCCTGTTCGGGAACAACATTCATCACGGAACCCAGATAGCACAACAAAACATACCGTATGCAAGAACGAAGCGCAAATTTATACAGCAAAATTGTAAAACGATCAAGAAAAACATGCTCTCAAAAACGCAAGCAAACTCGAAAACAGTTTCCTTTCCAACTTGACTCATTCGTGCAACGACTGCGTTGCACGCGAAATATTTAAGCTATGAAAAGTAAGTTAGTAGTCGGGAGAGAAACTGTAGGAGGAGGAAGAAAAAAGTTATACCTTCTGCGCTCCCGTGAATGTATGGTAATATGATGACACATACGTCATCACGGCTCGTTCATCAGGCAAGGGGCTGTTCGCAATATCTAAAAAAACGAACCACACAGTTGCCCAAATGCAGGCAGTCAGAACAAGCAGATCCGGACGAGGACAACATGGACATCGTCAGCCCGGTAATCACTTTCCTTCTAGGGCACCTTCATCAACCTCAGCTATGAACTAAGTTTCAACCCGGAATTCATGCCGGTTAAGGGACAGGGGAAACGGCACCCAAGCACACCCAATGACCCAAAAATAACCTGTTGTGCGCCTTGGAAAGCATGGTAATAACATGACACGTATGTCATAATGGCTCGCTCGTCGGGCTTCGGAGTATTGATCAAATCTGTACCGGATGATAGCAATGAGTGACCCACGTCCTCTAGCGTACACCCTGCCCTCAAGATGTAACCAAGTCTACCCCAGTACACAAAAATTACCTTCTGGGTCCAGCATCCGCGGGATATCGAGGTACTTCTCAGCGACATCGAACGCTAAGTTCAAATTCTCCCAAGGATTGTCCTGTAGACAAACATTCGAAGAGAAAGTAAAAAATAAAAACGGGACATCGACAGTTCACACGTTTTTCACGAAATCATCGAAAAGAAAGCATACCTTGGACAGTCTCGAGTAATCGATCAGATCAGGGCGATGACGATGGATAAGGGCACAGAAAGCCAGCCCATCCTTGAAGCTGTGGACAAAAAGAAACCTTCTTGAAATTTCATTCTCGATTTCATCAATACAGTAATCCGACGTCTTTCGAATGACGTCGTGTAGAAGGAACGTCATCTGAGTTATCTGCACTTAATGCTGGAATCCTCCGACTAAATTTCGGAGCATAAAATGATATGATACCTGCTTTTAATCCTGGAACACAAGAAGCAATGCAATCTAAAATGTAAAAAAAAAGGAATCACGTCGCAGCATTTACGCTGCCACAATAAAATCCTCAAAAGCCGTTGGAACAGCACATTATATTGAGAGGACATTCTTACACACCATGACACGTAATCCGGAGGATTGTAAAATGACATCGTTTTAAATATCTCTAGGGGCATGAAGGTACAGTATAAGTAAAAGTACTTTACGACAACTCGCGAGGGCAGCAAATTCTTCTCTCAAGATATTGCATCATTAAAATATTATCTTCTTGCTCCTCACATTTTTTGAAAACGCAGGCGGCGCCAAAATTTCATTCATCACGAAGGCGACTCATGTTTCAAGGCGACATTTATAACGACGAGGGAAAAGGTAGTCACACTGATTCATGGGCGATTGACACGAGGCACGCGAGATTAATTCACGTCGCATAGGCGGTACTCACGACCGGAAACAACAGCGTCAAACCGTGACGCGAAGCTTTTTCAATGAAAGGCTCCAGCTTGGGATCACGTACCTTGTGTGGAAATTTTGAACGTTGACGTTCTTGTAAGGGGCAGTTTTCCGTTGACACCACAGCAACAATCCTTCCTTCGCAGTCATCTCTTCAACGGAGATGTCTTGGATGGCAAATCTCAGAATGATAGTCCAAATCATTCCCAACGTCATCTTCAGATTTCCATCAACGATTTCTACGCAAGGAAACATTGTTCAATGGGCAAGAATTCGCAGATATGCAAAGGACTCGACAGACACGAAATACATGTGATCGTTCTTTCGAAGATACGAGGGCCGGTTCATACGTGTTGAGAATACTGAACATAGCTTCTTGAATTCCGGGAAAATTACTAAGGCATACTTGTACTCATTATAATCAATTTGCCCTTTTCAATAAAGCGCCGATTGCAGACAGCTGACTTGATTCCATCGAATTTCACGAACTTCTTCATTTCATGAATCCCTACCATCAAAACTGAGGTATGATGGAAATCGAGATCTGCCCGGAAGTTTTTACTATACCCAAACTTTTGGAATAGAAGACTCCAAACCAATGTATGATGGATACGTTGCCACGAATCATGCCAGGCCATCCGCCAATTTTCTTCGAATTGCCTCTTCGACTTGGGCATTAAATATCAAAAGCATTACCAAAATGTGAACATCACAATTTGCACATGGTTTTTAATACTCGGCATTTCCCCTAAAGCGATTTTCCACGTTTAAAATCTTCCGTAGGATTGAAATTACCAGCAAATTTAAGGAATTTATGGAACACTCTTTTTTGTCAAATAAATCTATTTTACGGAGGTGACGTGCACTTTCAACTCCGATCTTTCAACGCGAGGGGTAAAAATGGGAAAATATTTTCGAGCTAGGATTCCATACACCGTCAGAGTTCAAGTTCAAAGTTCAAAGTCCATTTTTAAAGTGAGTTGACATTTCGCAAAACTTCTGAATTAGCCCTCAGAGAGATGTTATTCGAGAGGAAAAGGATCTGAAAGACGCAGACGAAACGGTAATTCCTCAATGAACAATACCTTCTGCTCCAATCGAAACCAGCCTAACGCCCTTAGAGAAAATGAAGTCCAGAGCCTTGTTCACGTTGGCGATCTTGTGGAATCTCATTTTGCCGCGGTCCGGTTTCGGCAACGTCTCACCCGAAATAACCTCGAGGAGCAGCATCAGTTTCAGCCCATTGCGGAAGTCTTCCTCGATGTTCTCAATCCCCGTTCCGGCTTTCCGCAAGTGCGAATTGCACCATGCCGTGAAAGTCTGCACAGAAAATTAAATACATAGGCTTCAAAACTACCGTCTCGATCAACGTCCGATGGTCAATGGATTCCCACCCGAACTCAACCCCCTGTGGCCGATATCCGTCTGCATCAATACCAGCGTGCACGTGCACAAATCTGCACATCGCCATCAATTCAAAACGCCGATTAACCCGACTCGAGTCGCTAAACACACCGGTCACCGGAAAATAGAAGGAAATCGACTGCAGAAAATTCGAGAAATGCGTTCATAAACCGACTCTTACTACAAAACATACCAGTTCGGCTCTCTACAACAAAATTCGGGGGACCAGAAAGAAAAATCTTTGTAAAGACTATGGGTAGAGCCCCTGGGACCAAAAAAAATTGTTGGACAGACAAAGATGGTTGTAGAGAGAGTCTACATGTATTGCATAGTCAGACCAATAATTTATTGATTCACTTTCATTCGCAGGTTCAACTCGGAACGAATCAATAGATGATAATTCTAATCATTAATTTCGAAGGTAATGCGATTCAGGATGTCCTCGCAAATGGTTCTGCCGTGATCATGTGTGAGTTCAGGGACAGACCACAACATGAAGAAAAGGGGAAATAGGCTCAAAACTACGCATTTCTTACTGATGTGCTCAGTAAGAAATGCGACATAATCTAGGTTCGTGTTCCCCGTTTCAGATCTGCTTACACAGACAATAACATGCAATTCTGTTTGCGGATTCATGTTGAACATGTCACACGCTCGTGTCATCCAACATCGATTGACTCGTTCACCACTTGAAGCGATCACTGTTTATGTCGCGGGCCATTTGCTTTAGCATCAGGTGCACGCAGAAAACAACCCGCGATGCAAATATTTTCGCGAAGTGCAGAGAAAAACCGTCGGACATTCGCACCTCCACAAACACAGCGTCGCTGACGCTTCCGAGTCGCCAAAGCAACCGCAGTCACCGAAGCAAACAATCGGCGAAAACACCCTCGGGTTTATTCGCATTCCACTGCGACCACGGTCGCGCAGAACAACATCAGCGTCATGCTCTCGCTGTCGGGACTGATGCTCGAGCTACAAAATATTTTTCCATCACCTTCGCCGGTAAGGATTTCTGGCTTCGGATTGAAACGAACGGGAGACTCTTCAAGCGTACCGCTCAATAAATCACACGGTCCTTATATGAACGATGCATACATTTTCCAGTTTATCCTCACACCGAAACAAACCTTTCGAACGAACGATGTTGGAAGGAGCCCAACAATTAAACTCTGCATTCGCTATGATTTGAATTTTACTTCCCTTCTTTCGAGTGATTTTCCAAATCAGTACTGTTATGGTATATTACTACTGTACTGCAGACCACTGAGTATCATCAGCGGCACTAAACAGAGGTATTCCCCTTTTCAAGAAATTATAAAGCAATACAGCCAACGACACACGGGAAGACTGCACAACAATTGAGATTTTTAGATCGAAGGGAAATCAATCATTGATATGAAATGTACGTACGTACACAACTACGTATTCGTCCATGCAAAAGCAAAGCATCCGTTAGGATGAATTAAAGTAGCAAATAAAATAATTCCAATATGCAGGGGAAATTAGGGAGCAAAAAAATCACAGTAGAATTTCATTTCACAGAAAACATTGTAAACGTATTTCACAAATTTACGACTGAGAATATCTTGTTGAAATACATTCTACAGTACGACGTACAGTAGAACTCCGATAATCCCGGTATTCAATTGACTCAGCCTCATTTCCGATTACTGATGACCAATAAATAACTCCTCTCAATTACTGCACTCGAATATCCGTAATATTACAAAAAAACTCATCCCTTGGACTATGTGCTACGAGAAGCACGGAAATTTTGGTAATTCATGCATCAAAACAGATCAATGTTGAATAATCTCTTGCCTCTGTTGAATAAATTTTCCACACTCGGTTATCCGTGATAAATGCTTACCTCAGCTGAATAATGGTAATTAGTTAGGATAATAAGGCTTCTATTGTATTTAAACGAATACATATGGATATACGACAATGTACTATACTTTTTCATCCTAATCTACAAAAAATCGTATATGGGAGTTACGAAGAAAACGCTGAAAACTAAGTACCGTGCACCAAATAATCAGTACGTTGCACCACGCGCCGAAATCGAAATATCGAAGTACGGTCCATTACAACGCCCGAACACAATTACAGTTCCAGAAAAAAGTAATATAGAGGACCATATACAATACTGTACTACGTTCCAACCATGTTCAACATCAGCCAGTAATGCACACTTTTGCATTCGAAAAAAAAAACAGTATGAACGCCGATTCTTAACCAACATACCGACGAACAATTCGGTCGAAAACGGTCGGAGTTCTTGCAACAGACGAAAGAATATTTGTTCATCTCGTACAACATGCTAAGTATGGTCAAGTAGCGTTCTGAATGAACAACTAACTAACCACGGTTTTTTCCGACCCATTGCTTTCCTTAACGAAATTCCAGAAAAACTATGCATTTTCGAAATTCTAACAGCAACTGCAAGGCGCGATGGCACTTGAATATGTTTCAATCTAAGGTTGACGCACGAAAAATTGAAAAAAATATAAGTTTATCAGAGACTCCGTGAAAACCCTTTTAATTAAGATCACAGTCATGGTCATCGGAACTGATCACAAGTCAAGAGGAACTCATGCATGCGATGGATTTCAGCCATTGAAACCTGAGAATTTCAGACATTATAATCTATAATAGACCAGTTTCCGACGTTTGCTCTGATGAGCATCAAAATGTCCGTCTCAAGAACTCAGCGGCCACTCTAAGAAGATGGAGTAAAAATTTAAATATTGTACATTAAACATATGAAGCACGGAAGGACTAATACTGTGTTCCACGCCTAAAAAAAGAACGATTCTACACTTGATAAAATAAATTTTAAAGATATTTTTGCTTCAGGGGCTCCTTCGCGGGGATACTTTTTCAACGCTCCGCAACGACTATTGAGAATACGAGAACATTTATTTCAGGAAGAGCTTTGGGGTTTAAAGAAAAGCTCGAAAAATTCTGCAATGAAAAATTTACGGTCATGGCAGATGAGTTGAATGACGGATTCCGGCCGTTTTGGCAAGCCCCAGATATCTCGGAAATGCAGTACGCAATGACGAGAGACCAAAGGGACAAAATCTGGAACTTCCTGCAATGAACCCTAATTTTTCTGAACCCCCCGCACCCTCGACTCGCTCCGTCGTATTTTCCCTCACCCAGCTGGCCAACTTCCGTCTACCAAGACCGGACTGCAACCGGAAGAGAACATCGCTGCATTTGCATACACGTCGCTTCAGTCCCCCGTGCCAAAATCTCAGGGATGGCGGATGCGAATTTTTCAACTGGAGTTCGCGACGCGTTATATATACACACATAACATCTACATATTTTTTCCCCTCCCACACAAAACAAAGCCACGCCGGGAGCGGTAGTGGAAGGTTGGGGGCTTGTGAGCTTTCGATCTTTTTATTATTATTTAGCGCGTGAAAGGCTGTCCCTTATGGGTGGATAAGACGTTTCGTTAAAAGTCGCTGTAAAGGCACCCGAAATCAACTCACCTGAGACCCTCCGAAAACAAACAAGCGATTCCTTTTTTCCCTCATCCTCCTGATTTTAATGTTCCGAGTGGAATAACTTGAAAATAAGTCTTGCGTGAAATGATAAATTATTGACCGGAAAACACAGTTTTGAATCAGATTGCTCCCATGCAAGTTATGGGGTGAATCAGGGATGCTGCAATAAACAAAAATTTTAAATTTCCCAAAAAATGCCAAAATCTTGAATCACATATTAATCCAGTCAGAATGGGTAATGAAGCGGCCTACATACTTTCAATTTTTAACTTGAACCGCTTCCATTCCCTCATCATTGACTGATTACCCAAACTAAGACACTTTGAAACTTGCGGAAATGTCAACATCGGGGATTTTCGTGTAGTAATTACCCGCTAAAATACTTTCCGATAAGATCCGATTATTCGGAGAAAGACTCTCGGTCATCATCACGGATAATCAGGGTAGTATCATCCTCGTAGAGCTCGGCGGACCCAACGACCTGGCCTAATCATCGTTTGATCCTCGATTCCCAATCATAAACACAATGTCGGATCAAGTAATCACTCCGTCGGAGAAACAAGAGCAATCGCATCTCTCAGTGACGGAAATATTCGCTAGCAAATCGGCCATCCCGTGCCCGACAAACCGTGAAAACGAGTCCGCGAGCAGCGCGCCAAAGCAAGAATTAACCCAGCATCGGCATTTTGGCCGCTGTCCAGCGACTCACGGCATAAATCTCATCCCGACTCTTGACAAAAAAGCATCACCGCAAGGGATTGCCGCGCATCAAAAGCTCCGCTGCCGCGTTGCGACACCAGCTGCTCAATCACAGCATCGAGAAAGAAAGAAGTTAAAAAAAAAGAAAACGCAATTTTAGCTACCAATATTGCCTCAAACACGCTCGACATTTGTCAGATAATCTCTGAAACTAAATATCAATCCAACCTCGAGGCTCACGCGTCGCTCGACTCTCAACTTCGAAGTGTACCGACTACATTCCGAGATAACGCGGCGAGCATTGGAAATATGAGCCCATTAGTATGTCACAGCACTTGAGTATGCCTCTATTAACACTGACGCAGAGCAACTGGCGTCACACAAGACGACTTCCGCACTCTTCAGTACATGCAAATTTAGCTTGCATGCAGGATATGATCATGAAACTGGAAGCAGCCAACAACGAGAAACCTAAGGGAATTTTTCCAGAATCAGCAGCAATTTGATATACAATAAAGCAAATCCGACACACATGTCAACATTTCCAAACGTTCCGGCGAGACAAGACAAACATTAAAATCAAGACCCGGTCACAACTTTTCATATTTCACGAAAAATGGATGTCAATTACTGCATCAGTTTAGTGCGTGACCTTTGCGTCACACAAGCGAGATTCATGGATCACCACACCCA